CCCCAAAACCCCAAAACCCCAAAACCCCAAAACCCCACTAACCACAAAAATATTGAAAATGCCTTAGACAACTTCATATTCTGTCCCATCTGATACTTCCTCGTTAAAGACTGGTGTTTGCATAACCTCTTGCTTCCTAACTGTCTTTGGGATTTTAGAGTCATTTGAGGCCTTTATTGGAGTTTTGGGATTCCCTTGGCCTAACTTCACCACTGGCTTTTTCACTGTCTTTGCTCCTGGCTTACTCTCAACCCAGAATTTATAACTATCTGCTTTGTCTTTATCAGGAGTTGTCTTGTTTTTATCTCTAGCGAGCAATATTCCTCTATCATGGGAGATTCCAAGATGTCTAAGGATTTTATCATTAACATAGAATCTCTTCTTATCATCTCCTAATCTTTTCTCTCTATTGCAGATGCTCCAGAGGTCTGGAAGGAGTTCTTCTTCCGAAAGAATGCACTTAGATCAGAGCAAATCCACAATCTCTTTATCTGTTGCATATGAGCCATGAAGAATTGCTGCGATACGCTTCAAGTTCTTTAAGAAATGAGGTCTGAGCTGGTCAAGCCCTTTCGGGTTTATGATATCAATAGTAGGATTCTGTGAGATAAGGATTGCTTTTCCTGTATCCCCCATTTCTGAAGATCCCTCTTTATTAATGACCTATAGATAATCTTAAGAGTCTTACAATAGTTGGGCCCTTTTGGAGCTTTTCGTAAATCATTTGATTATACTCTCTAATCCTTTTAGGAGTTTTGGCATTTTTGACTTCTTCAGAATCATCGTCATCTCTGTGCTTGTCTCTATTAGAGAGATCGTGGATTTCTGCGATTGAGATATCATCATCGTCAGAGTAATTAATGTGGTCATATACTTTCATAGGATTCCTGGGATTTTTGATTGGAATATGAGGAACATTCTTATACATTTTTCCAATGTCGTGGTCTACTATATAAATCTTTACTTTGTTCCTCTGCTCGCGTTTTGGAGGCAGATCTAGTTCCTTCTGTCTCTTTAAATTTTGAATATACTTCTGACGATCTTTAAGGATATTGAAAGTGCTAGGGATTTTGCTCTCCTTCTGGAAGTGATCTGCTAGGGTCATACTCACGGAATAGTCTGGCTTAGCCTGGAAACCTTCTTGTTCAGGCTTGTTCATGAACTTTTTCAGGGGTGCATGCTGCTTGCTCAGCTCTTGTTTATTCTTCTTTTCCTCTTCGATGATCTCAGAGATATAACATAGATCTAGAAGGTCTGCATCCTTAATCTGATCAACGAAAGATGCAAGATTCTTTACTCTTTCATTCGGAATAAAGTTAAACTTGTTTGAGGTGGATGACCTAATTTGATCTATTTTGTTCTTAATTCGAAGTCTTTTCTTGTCAAGATCTTGCAATTTTTCCTTCTCATTATTGATCTTTGAAGTCATTAATCTTTGAGACTTAATAGAGCTTTGAATAGTTTTTCAGACCGAAACCAAACATTGGATTATTCCTCCATAATTTACTCTTTGCTCTTCATAAAGAGAGTTAAGAGAGCCTTTTTCTTGGTCGAAGATGATCTCATTACAGTAATAATCATCTTCATAATATTTGTTGAGTCTAGGAAGCTTGAGAGCCCTGAGATCAGTCTTTTTAGCGCCATAAAACTCCCTCTCTACTCAGTATTTAAGAGGACAGTCTTCATCCAGCTTTTGAAGTATTTCTTTTGGAGGAAGGAATGGCTTCTTGATAGGAGTTGAGTCAAACTTCATTTCTTCAAAACTTTCGAGTTTGGTCCTCAAGTATTCCCTACAAGCATCCCAAACTTGCTCTTGAGGACCAGTATTTTGGGTTATCAGGTTCTTTCATAGAGTAATAAGAGGGTTTATTACCATATTAGATGCTACAGAAGGATTTATGGTAACTCCTTTCATTAGCTCTATCAAGGCCTTGTCCACTTCATAATCTGATAAAGTTTTTACTGGATTGTTTAGAGTGATCCCAATTTCAAGTTCTTCGGCAAGCCTCTTAGAGTAAGTATTCAGATCAAATTCTAACTTCAGAAATTTATTCTGGGTCGCGTTCTCTCTTTTAGGAGATTTTTGTTTTCTTTTGTCTAAAGAGTAATACATTTTCGAACTTTTGGATTGGAGTTTGTTCTTTCTCTCTTTAACAATATCTTTGTTCTTGACTCTTGGCTTCACATTAGTCTTGTTCCGTGAAGTCCTCGAGTTCTTACTGGTTAAACGGGACTTGCTGCTCTCTCGCTTCACTCTTCTCTGGCCTCGTTCTGTCTTAAGCAGGTCTTTTTCATTACTTTTGCTTGATTTCCTATAAATTCATAAATTTCCGGGGAATTACGTTTGTGGTCTTTTTGAATCCTTTGGTCTATTTTTCTGTGTAGAATCTATACATGATTTTGCTCACCAGAGCTGGGATTAGTACCTTCATGATCCTTCCTCTTTTTATAGGTGCTACTACGAAGGTGCTTCTTCACATAGTCCATTTTTCCGGGGATTCAATAAATATAGGATTAGCGGGGTTTTGGGGTTTTGGGGTTTTGGGGTTTTGGGG